TCACATATATATGTTGTAATTATTTAAAGGGATTTTTAAAAGTTTCTAATGTAAAAAGGGAAGAACATTTATTTTTGTTGATATAGTTCTTCTATATTTGATTCCTGATTTCAAGCCAGTTAAGAGTTAAAATGGAAAATTTCCATTGCTTTTGCTGCTCTAACTCACTGATAAGGGGCCTGGTCTGACATATTAATAACAAAAGTACCATAGTGTTGCCTAATGTTTTCTAACTTCTCTGCCCGTGTTTAATTCATCCTTTTACAAAATTTAGCATAAGCTCTTAATATTTAAGTTAGATGAACATGAATCATACATTTGCTTTTTTGGTTATTATTTGATGTCTTAGTGGGATAGAGTCATTCTTAGTTGAATTCAGTAGACTAGGTATTAGGGGATACAAAGATGCAAACATACAGTTATTACCCTTAAGACCCTTACTGATTCCTGAGAGAATACTCAGGAATATATAAATAGTTGATAATATCAGAGTATAAGCTCTGTGTGAGGTTCAGAGGTGTGTGGAGGTGCAGAAGAGGGAGGAGGGCAGGCAAGCAGAGGCATCTCACGAGTAGACAGAGTCAGAGAAACAGGAATGTGCACGAGTCGTCTTAGAATGGTGAGTGGTCCCGAAGGAAAGTAGTAGTGAGATTGGAAAAGTAGGTTGTGGTGCTGGGGGGTGATAGGTTTCTGAATACTAAGTTAAGGTGTTAAACTGGATTCTTTTTTTTTAAGATTTTATTTATTGATTTGAGAGAGAGAGAGAGTGAGCGCATGAGCAGGGGGAAGGGGCAGAGGGAGAGAGAATCTCAAGCAGACTCCCCACTGAGCAGGGAGCCCAACGCAGGGCTCGATCCCAGGACCCTAAGATCATGACCTGAGCTGAAGGCAGACGCTTAACAGACTGCGCTACCCAGACACCCCTAAACTGGATTCTTTTTTTTTTTAAAGTTTTTTTTTTTTTTAAAGATTTTATTTATTTATTCATGAGAGACAGAGAGAGAGAGAAGCAGAGGGAGAAACAGGCTCCCAAGGAGCAGGGAGCCCGATGCGGGACTCAATCCCAGGACCCTGGGATCGTGACCTGAGCCGAAGGCAGACGCTTAACCATCTGAGCCACCCAGGCGCCCCCCTAAACTGGATTCTTAAAGTACTCAGGAGCCTTTAACTTTCTAGAGGAGAGAACATAAATACGAATTTGGTGGTAGCAATGAAATGGCCACTGAGTCTCCCAAGCATTTTAGATCTAGATTAGCCATTCAGAAACACAAGAATATGATGCTGTTGGTCAATTCAGAAGCATGTACAGTTTGTTTCTAAAGTATTTTTTTTTTTTAAAGATTTTATTTATTTGTCAGAGAGAGAGAGAGAGAGCACAAGCAGGGGGAGCAGCAGAGAGAGAAGCAGGCTCCCCGCTGAGCAGGGAACCTGACATGGGTCTCAATCCCAGGACCGCAGGATCATGACCTGAGCCACCCAGGTGCCCCTAGTTTGTTTCTTAGTAGTAGTTCCAGGTTTGGTCCTAAACCAGTCACATGTTTCACTTGGTCGCCATTTTATTAACACAAGAGTGAACTAGGGTGGCAAGTTCAATATGTATCTAGAAGAGAATTTCTCTCCATGAGAAATGAATTGGCCTGACTAGGTATCAAGTCATTTCATTCAAGTTTCTGGCTTCATTAGTTCTCTAGTCAACCAACAGAGCTAGACTCTAAATAGAAATTGCCATCTGGGGGCGCCTGGACTCAGTTGGTTAAGCTTCGGCCATCAGCTCAGGTCATGATCCCAGGGTCCTGGAATCGAGTCCCACATCAGGCTCCCTGCTTAGTAGGGAGCCTGCTGCTCCCCCTGCTTGTGCTTGTGCTCTCTTTCCCTCTCTCTGGCAAATAAATAAATAACATCTTTAAAAAATATATCTATAAAAAAATAGAACTTGCCATCTGTCCAAATAGAAATCAAAAAGGTAAAAAAATACATATATGTCTTCAAATATAGAACAATTATTGATTCCATTACTTATTTTCTTTTTAGCAAAATCATTTAAAATTTAATTCCCCTCATTTATAAGGGATCTTAAGTCTAACAACATAGTTTTGAGTATAATTTTTAGGCATGTAAGTTTACTAGAAAAAAAATGAAAATTTTATTGATACTTTGGTCTGTTATATCTGTAGGTGTTTATATCATGATCATTTCTGGTATGCCAAATTATTAGTTTTAAATGACTTTTATATGGGTGGCTCAGTCGGTTGAGTGTCCGACTCTTGGTTTTGGCTCAAGTCATGATCTCAGGGTCGTGAGATCAGGCTCCCTGCTCAGTGGAGGGTCTACTTGAGATTCTCTCCCTCTACCTCTCCGTCTGCCTGTCCTCCACTCACCCCCACTTGCGTGAGTATGCTTGTGCGTGCTCTCTCTCAAAATCTTTTAAAAAATAAATAAGTAAATGACTTTTATGGAACTTAGCTAGTTTTTATAGTTTTTTCCCTGTATTTTTTAATAATCAGTTATAAATTACTGTCAAATGCTGAGTTAGGTATACTTTGTATTTATATTTATATGTAAGTATATAGTATATACTTTGCCCCATTGGACCCTTTTGACAGCTTTGCAAGATGTGAATTGTTAGCCCTTTTTTACAGATGAGATGTCTCACCTCATTGTAAGGGGCAGAGTGGGGTTGCCCCCTTTTTTTTTTTTTTTTAAAGATTTTATTTATTTATTTGACACAGAGAGAGAGAGAGCACAAGCAGGGGGAGCAGCAGGCAGAGGGAGAAGCAGGCTTCCCGAGGAGCAGGGAGCCCGATGTGGGGCTCGATCCCAGGACCCTGGGATCATGACCTGAGCTGAAGGCAGACGCTAAACGACTGAGCCACCCAGGCGCCCTCCTCCTAATTGGTCCCTTGTATGCTAAGGATAACAACGTAACATGCATGATACTGCAGGAACCAAGTAGCTTAGAGTTAAATGGATTCCGTATTAAATTTAATTATTCTAGTTCTTATCACTAATCAAAGTGAAATAGCCTTTTAAATAATCCTATTAGCTATGATCACCTTTTAAGACCCCGTCAAGCTGGTTATAACAGAATGAGCTGAATACTGCTTCTTCAGGGTCAGTAGTCATAGCTCCGAGACTGAGGCTCCTACTCGTTTTTCCATTTTATGTAATAACAACAACAAAAAAATAACGTAAACAGCAATGAATATAGTAACATCATTTTGCTGGTTTTCTCCCCACATAAACCCTCTATGTACCATTCATGTCATTATTAAAAATCTTGGATTTAATTCCTCATGGATTGAAATTTAGATTTTGCATATTATTTTAGGTTGGGCTTTCCATAATCCCATATCACATATATTAACAGTCTTTTGTGGCCCCTGAAGATAGATTCAAAACTGTTTTGAACTGCATGATCGTCAGCCCTTTGCAGCCCTCCCACGGTTTTACAGTGACCCATCAATATCTGGGAGTACCTGAAATGTCTTTGAAAAGGACTGCTAAACTGTCATCACATTTTTATTTTTCAGCAAAATTTTATTTTCCCCCCAAATCCATGTCTTTAAACCCTAGGCCCTACCAAACAGAAGAGGGAGGTTTTATAGATAGCATAGTATTTGGCCAGGCCTTTGGATCAAAGATTACGAACAGGCCAAAATGTGCATCTAATAAACCTAAAACTGCAAGTTGAAATTTGAGGAGTTTGCTTCTAATCCAGATGCTACAAAAGCTAATTTGGAAAGTCCTGTGGAAATCTAGTGGACACATGAAGGAATTAGATGTGCCGTAATTGTATTTAGCTATTTATGTGAAAGCAGGACTGGAAGGCTGCACAGCTAGCTCGCTCCTTCTCTGCTGCCCTTTCCCTTCCCCACTGGATGGCTGTGACTTCCAGATTTGGGGGTCAGTCTCTTGCCGGACCTTCCCCTCCCCTCCCTCATCTGTGTTAGACGCCACTCTTGAGTTTCCCGAGCACCGCACACCTCACTCTGCGAGGATGTGGTGTCGTTGAAATACATCTCTCCTCCTACTTTGAGTTCTTTGGCACAAGGACTGTCTTTTTCATCTTTGTATCCCAGTGTCTGGCACATGTGGTGTTCGGTAAATGGCCACAGTGCTTGTTGGAGTTCTTTAAAATCTTTGACCTCTAAAACTTCTCTGTTGTCGGAGGAAACAACCAATCCTCACTTCTACAATGATGAAGTCTTGGTTCACCTAGCACACTATCAATTCAAAATTATTTTTAGTGCAAGAGGGACTCAGTTTGTTCCAGCTGCCCTTCAGTCGCCACGTGACCTTGGGCAAAGCACTGAGTTAATTTCTGCAGGCTTTGGTCTCGAATCTCTTAAATGAAGGCTTTTACTGGAACATGATCTCCATGTTCCAGTAAAGCTACCAAGCTCTGTGGCCTAGAGGCACGGTAGAGACCACAGTGGTCTGGTGGGCAGAGCTGAGTCTCTTCCCCACCACCCGGTGACCTGGGCTTACTGAGTATGTGTACAGCTCTGAAGTGACTTATGAAAATTGATGTGTATCATTTGCCAGGGCAAAACAAACGCTCTGCTTAAGTAACTTGGAATCTCAAATTTTAAATTACGTTTGGTATAATTTGTGTTAATTATAATTTGCTATATTCTCATGTGAAAATTGATTATTCACATGTGGTTTATGGGATCATTAGGATATCACATTAGATTAATCACGATGCTCTGTTTCCTCATCATCCTGGTTAATAGAATATTTAAAGTATTTTGGAAAGTTATATCTTGCAAATGTTTGAAATATAAAAATAAACACAAGAGAATTTGAAGTACATTTTAAAGTTGGTCAGTGTATTTTATTTTGCTTCAAGAATGCTTAATAAAGAATATTAAATAAATGGAAAACAATTTCAACATTTTAAACTTTCTAACCTTTGAACACTTTTTTTTCCTCCATGATCGAGGATTCTGATTTTTTACGTTTGTTTCTTATTTTTTTTGGACCTTATGTACTTTCAGCTCACTTAGAGGCTAGCTTTGAGGAAGTCGAAAGCCACCTGTTGAATCTGGAGGATTTATGTGGACAGTGTGAATTAGAAAGATACAAACATATGCAGTCCCAACAATTGGAAAATTACAAGAAAAATAAGAGGTGAGTTTGAAAAATTGGTCAACAGTATTCATTTTACATGCTGTTTGTAAGTTTGGGCCGATAAAAGACAAAAGGTTGCAACATGTGAAGCTCATTCATAAGCTTTCCAGAACATGACCTTGAGATACATCTATATTTTGGTACCGCTGTGTGTTGCCATATTATGGAGATGAGCTCTGTAAAGCTGAGGCTGGGATAAAAGGTGGAGGGGAGCAGAGCGACAGCCAGAGCTCTCCCAGAAAGCAGGAGCCCTGACCTCATTGTCTCCAAGTGGCATATCCTGAGCTGCTTTTTTCCTTTTCTTTCTTTTCTCCTCCTTTATTATTAGAGCAGGAAGAAAAGGAACCTGAGCCCAGGTTCCTGGGGTTTGAATCTCAGCTTTGTCAAGGACTGGCTGTGAGGCCGTAAGCAAGTTACTTGCTCTCTCTTAGCCTCAGTGTCTCTAGCCGATAGTGAGGATACTATACCCACTTCCTAGGGTTGTTGTGAGGATTGAATGAGGTAAGAGCTATCAGGCACAAAAAGTGCTCTGTAAGTATTAGTTAAAATCATGACTGTTGTCATGGAGCTGGGGGATAGGAACTGGATGCAGAAGGGAAGCCCAAGGGTGACAGTTTGTGGGACCAGCTGCAGCATCCCAGCTCATGCAGTGCCGCCTCGGGCAGGCTCGGAATTCCGGTCCACGGGGCAGGGTCCACGGTAGCTGATGAGAGTGCCTGAGACGGTCAGTGGTCTGCCCCGCGCAGAGCAGGGAGGGGAGCCATGAAGGGGGTTTGTGATGGTGCAAGAAAACGCAGGTCGTGGGATTGGAATTGGGCTTAGGCCTGAGAGCAGATTTGGAGGGAGAGGAAGAAAGATTGGCTGGGCAGAGTATCCTGTTGGTTTTAAGTGTTCTTATCGAGGGTGTGGCAGTATGGGAGGACTGGGTTGTTGACATGGACAGGAAGTGCCAGTCACTGGTATACAGGAGGAAAAAAGTGAAGCTAATATGTAGGTATTGTAGATTATCACAGTGACTTCATAGTTTCCTAGAATAAAGCCAAAGGATGGGGCGGAGATGAAACTGAGTATTCTGAAATTTTGGATCAGGTCCATGTGTTTTTAGGACTGGGTCTTAAATGTTAATGAGCCATAAGAATCACCTGGGTAGTGTTTCAAATGCAAACACCTGGGCTCCATCATTGGCCAGCCCCAATTCCCAAGCTAATTCCAATGGTTTTGCTGTAGACAAGCATTTCAGGCAATTCTGACACAGGTAGTTCAGGGAGAGACCCTTTAAGAGACGGCCAGGTGGGGGTGGGATTGGGTGGTGTGCAGGCTCTACATGGAAGAGCTTCCAAAGGAGCCCCAAGGGGGCTGTGGATAAAATTGTCTGCAGAAGTTTGTAAGTATGTGAGTTTTTCTGGAGGTGCTTTCTGTAAATTGCATTTACCTACAGAGATTACAGGAGGGTATGTGGCAGCATTAAGAATACAGTCCTTGTCTGGGGCGGCTGGGTGGCTCAGTCGTTAAGCGTCTTCCTTCCGCTCAGGTCATGATCCCAGAGTCCTGGGATCGAGCCCCACATCAGGCTTCCTGCTCGGCGGGAAGCCTGCTTCTCCCTCTCCCACTCCCCCTGCTTGTGTTCCCTCTCTCGCTGTGTCTCTCTCTGTCAAATAAATAAATAAAATCTTTAAAAAAAAAAAAAAAAAAGAATGCAGTCCTTGTCAAAGAACGAGTGGATGAGTGCTGGGACCCAGGGGGTTTCAGACTGAATCATGGGGCATGAGAGATGAAGAACTCTCTCTCCAGAAGGGAAGAGAACAACGCAAGATAGCAGAGTTAGAGATGGTTGAGTTAGAGATGTTTCGGCTGGTCTGCAATTTTAAATGAAAAAGTAGGGAAATACTCTGTTGTGAAAGTGTTAATCATGTAAGTTTATAATACAATAGGTTTCAAGGAGCATAGTAGGAAGGCTTAGAATGGCAAATTAGGAAATTTTTGTAGGAAATTGGGCAGTGTGGGTACAGGTCATGTGAACCCTAGAAGTTACATGGTTTCCTCATCTGTAAAATGGAGATAATAAAAGACCTTTTAGGGTTATGTTAAGGATTCAGTTGGTAAAGTGCTTAGAATAATGCTCAGCACATGGTGAATGCCGCGTCAGGCGGCCAGCACTGGCTGCCTTGTATGATTACTTGTACAGCTGAGTCGATGGGTATTCCGTATTTGTACCAGTTATGTTTTCTAGCTAGTTGAACACAAGAACTATGTGAATATTGTGGTTTTTCTATCCATATGTGTTAATATTGATTATTTGAAACAGGGTATCTGATACTTTAGTATGTAAAATTAAATTTCAGGTTTCTGATTATTAGATAGAAAAAAAGTAATAAAATTTGGAACTATGAGGTTTTATATCTTTCTTTTACTTTCACCCAGTGACTTAAATGTATTCTCATTAATGCATTATAATTTATGTGTTATAAAATGAAAATTAATTTTAGTGTTTGGAGAGCAGCATTGCCCATGATTTAAGTGAAAGCCAAAATGTACTGAACGGGTCTTAATAGGTTTCACGTAATTGAAATGACAGAGTATTTGTCTTTTAAGAGATAGAATTATGTAGTAGAAAAAGTGTGTCCTTAGAGTCAGAAGACCCAAGTCCTGGCTCCGTTGGTTACTGACTTGGGCGTTAAGCCTTACTAATAACTAACAGTTGATTAACACATACTTTGTATGCTGTATGTATTGTATGCTGTACTCTTACAATAAAGTAAGCTACAGAAAAAAATGTTACTAAGAAAATCATAAGGGAAAATACATTTACAGTACTATACTGTATTTATCAGAGAAAAATCTGCATATAAGTGGGCCCATGCCGTTCAAACCTGTGTTGTTTAATGGTTAACTGAATATTGAAACGGGGGTTCAGTGAAAGTCTGCATATCGCACAGTAGGGCTGTTTGGCCATTTTCCTCACTGGCTCCCAGAAGTCTGGCAGCCAAACGTACACCCCTGTGCAGATTATTGGAGGGCTCATCTGAGAAATTGACCAGCCCAAAAGAAAACACCTGCTCGTGTGGACGTTTGGGGGACTGCTCTGATGAAAGAGCAGGGTCTGCATCTTTGCACCCTGCATGCTGAGCTCCACACTTGTGTACATGACTTCTAATCAGCTTTGTGGTGCCTCACTCTTAAATATGAACGGATAGCTGAGAAATAATATCCAATGGAGGAAAGCTTCCAGAGTGAAAGGAACCAAAATAAATAGAAAATAAAGTAGTAATAATTAAAAAAAACACACAGAGGAATGAGAGACTATGAGGGGAGCAGAAGGAAACTTACAAACAGAAATCATAATATATGAGGCCACCTTGTAAGAGACCATTTTGCATTTATGAGACATGAACAGGAGACTACAGAAAAGGAATAATAAGAGACAAGAAAGAGCTCTTAGAAATAAAACATATGATAGCAGAAATAGTAAATTTCAACCGAAGCATTGGGAGATCATGTTTGGCCTCTATATAAGAGAGCACAAAGGTAAGAAAAGCTAAGAATGTTGAGAAAATTAGAGAATTCATTCCTGAGTCTCATTATCTGACTACTAGAAGCTTCAGAAAGAAAGGAGGGGGGGACGCCTGGGTGGCTCAGTTGGTTGGGCGACTGCCTTCAGCTCAGGTCATGATCCTGGAGTCCCCGGATCGAGTCCCGCATCGGGCTCCCTGCTCGGTGGGGAGTCTGCTTCTCCCTCTGACCCTCCCCACTCTCATGCTCTCTCTATCTCATTCTCTCTCTCAAATAAATAAATAAAATCTTTACAAAAAAAAAAAAGGGGGGGGAAGGCAAATTTATTAAAGAACTAATACCATATAACTGTTCAGAACTGAATGGTATGAATAAGTTTGAAAGGGCCCACCAAGTACCGGACAAAATGAGTGGGAAAAGATCCATTGTCAATGCATATTTTTATAAATTTCACTACACTAGGAATAGAGGTCATAAAAGTCTTCAGAAAAATCTTAAGGATCAGGAATCAAAAGGAACGTGAGCTTTTCAGCAGCACCGCTAGAACTGGAGAATGATTTTCACTTTTCATTTACTTAGCAACATTTTCATCAAGTGGGAGGAAATGGTCATTTCCAGGCGTACAGGGGCTCAGATTTCACTCATGCACACACTGTATCAGGAAACTGCGGGAGGATATGGTCCACCGACAAGGGAGTAAACCAAGGAGAAGGAAGAACGGACACAGAAGAGACATGAATTGCAGTGAGGATCCATCCAGTTCAGAAGAAAAACAACGGGAATGCTCAGGGGGATGGTAAAGAGAAGTTTGAACAGGCCTGGCAAGCAGTCCAGACTGAAGAAGGAAGACCTTCTGGAGGATTGCAAGAGCAATGTTTCCAAGGGAAGAAAATGAAGCTAATAGGTTGTCTGATAAGCTTGATCATATTGAGAGTTTTATAAGCTCTGACGGCAAGTCTTTGGTGATAGGTACGATGTTTTAAAAACGGGCCAAACAAGGCAACTCTTAACACTAGGGGAAAACACAGTTTTACAAGAAGAGAAATAAAACACCGTATGACAGTTACAAACCGTATTTATAGAACTCTGTAATAGCTAACGTGGAGTTAGGCCGGAACTGTGCTGTAACTTACTGGAAAGATGGTGGAGAAGCTTGCTGTATTGCAGGCTACGAGGGAGCGAGTAAAGAAAGCTCATCCTCGGCTTCCACAGCAGGGGATCAGTATGTTGTAATATTTAAAATAGAACAAAATGAATAATTATCAGTGTTGGCACATTAGAATAGAAATAATGGAGGTAAATACCAGAAATAGCCCAAAGAATGGAATGTGGCTTCTTGTGAAAAGTGGGCCAGGAAGGTAGACAGAGCCGGGGCAGGGAACTCTGATCCTCATCATAAATAAACCCTCTGGGCACTAGTTGACTTAAGGAACGTACATGCATTATTTTGACAAATACAGAAATTGAACTTAAAAACACTCTAGACTGAG